TTACACTGGTTTAGAAGTCATACGCTCTATTACTATTCTTACAGTGTTCACCCTTAACATTTTACCATGCTGACTTAATTTAGTAAAGCCTAAATTGATCAAGGTTTTACTTTCTCTTCTTAATAACACATGAACTTTATTGTTAATATTATAATATCATTATTGTTTTGTTATTTTTATTTTTACAAGCGTTTTTGTTTTATTTTTGCAAGCATTTCATTTATTTATCTGCACAAATATTTGTATATACTTGCATGTTTACCAAATTGTTTGTTTACTATTTCTTCCCTTTCAGATCTTCTGTCCCTAAAATATACGCTTATTAGTTTCTGTAGGAGAGGACTGCTTTGTTTAGTTGGAACATTAATATTTGTTCTTGTTCCTTTTCTTCCTTTTTTTTTTTTAAATTTTTTTGAGATGGAGTCTTGCTCTGTTGCCCAGGCTAGAGTGCAGTGTCACAATCTTGGCTCACTGCAACCTCTGCCTCCCAGGTTCAGACAATTCTCCTGCCTCAGCCTTCCAAGTAGCTGGGGCTACAGGTGTCCACCACCACATCTGACTAATTTTTGTATTTTTAGTGGAGATATGGTATCACCATGTTTACCAGGCTGGTGTCGAACTCCTGACCTCAAGTAATCTGCCTTGGCCTCCCAAGGTGCTAGGATTACAGATATGGGCCACTGTGCCCAGCCTTGTTCTTGTTTTGAGAGAGATTTTTGATAATTCCAGAGTAACATTATTTTATGTTAGCTCTTTGAAGAAATTTCACCCCTGTGATTTGTTTGCTCTGTGATGTTGTTCAAGTGTTTTAGAGATAATGTAGTCATCTTATGAGTGATAGTGAGGATCAAATATATATAAAGTGCTTATTAGTGTTTCTAACACATATTTATCTCTGTATAAATAAATAACCTTATTTTTCTTTTTTCTCTCTTTCTTTCTTACAATTCTTATTCCTGGCAATGCTGCTCAGCAATTCACTAAAATGCATCTAAGTAAAAATTTCTTTTTATTTGCACCACTGTTTATCCTGTTCGGTATACATTTTTCTTTCCAAATAATGTGGTTCTAGGTCTTAAATTTTCTAATTTCTGTACATTCTCAAACCTTAATTATTTGAACGTTACATCTATCTCTTTATTTCCATTCTCTTCTGGAATTTTGATTAGGACAATACACTTTTTTTTATTGTATCTTTTACATTTTTAAACATCTATACTGTGTTCAGTTCCTCATCTGTCTCTAGCTGGGATAATTTTTTCAAATATGTACTTTATTTATTTATTTTTATTTTTTATTTCCATAGGTTTTTGGGGAACAGGTGATGTTTGGTAACATGAATAAGGTCTTTAGTGGTGATTTCTGAGATTTTGGTGCACCCATCACCCGAGCAGTATACACTTTACCCAATCTGTAGTCTTTTACCCCTCACCCCCCTTCTACCCTTTCCTCCAAGTCTCCAAAGTCCGTTGTATCATTCTTATGCCTTTGCAGTCTCATAGCTTAACTCCCACATATGAGTGAGAACATACAATGTTTGTTTTTTCATTTGTTTCCAGATTTATTTCCCAATTCATTTACTCTGAATTTTGCTGTTTCTCATAAGCTTTTTAACCCATCCATTGATTTCTTAATTTTAATAATTTTATTTTTAAATGTATAAATATATATTTTTTCAGATCTGCAGATTCACGTTATAACCTTATGTGGTTTGATCTTTTTATTGTATCTGTTATTTCCTTATATGCTTACAGTTATATTTTGTACCCTTTAATTATAACAACTAGTGTCCTTCAGGGTATATGTATTTGTTAAATGTATTAGCTCATCCTCAGTCATGGCTTCTTATTTCCGATTATGTGTTTGAGAATAATTTTGTAAGCTCATACTTGGTTGAATTTTATTTGCAGAATTTTGAGTAGCTAATTTCTAATAACTTGGGCTGTATACCAACAGCGTGGATCCACATTATTAGTCAGCTCAGGCTGCCATAACAAAATAACAGAGACTGGGTAGCTCGAATAACAGAAATTAATTTATCACAGTCTTGGAGGCTAGAAGTCTAAGATCAGAGTGCCAACCTGATCAGGTTCTGGTGGGGCCCCCCTTCTTGGCTTGTAAATGGCTGCCTTCTTGCTGTGTCCTCACAGTACAGGGAGAGAGTTACCTCCAGTCTCTTCCACTTATTATAAAGGCACTAATCCCATTATGGGGTCCCCATGCTCATGAGCTTGTCTAAACCTAGTTATTTCCCAGAGGCCCTACCTCTAAATACTGCCACATTGGAATTAGGGCATCAACATATGGATCTGGGGAAGGAGTGGCACAAACAGTCTATAACATTCACTTTTGCTCTTTGCAAGAGCTTTGGTTCCTTCTATTTGTGTGGAGCCCAGGGAAACTCTGATCTTTTGCATCTCTTAAAACACACCTTTTTGGTTTTAGTGTACCATTCTTTTTCTCTCTCTTGATTTCTCTCAGCCCTGAGAAATGGCCTTTATTTTTTCATGAACCAAAGGTATACAGTTTTCCATATTTCAGGCCATGTCTTTTGAAAGGCAAAACCATTTTGAAAGAATATTCAGAAATTTATATTTGATATATTTTGGGTTTAGTATATGAACTCTAATCTCAATATATTAAAAACTTATGGGAATATTGTTTATATTTATTGTTGACTAAAAATCAGTTATGGCACTCACAAAGAAATAATACTGCTTCATTCTAGTTGTAATTATTCCAGTGTGATTTTTTTTTTTTTTTGCCTGGCACATGGTTTAAAGTGCAAGAGAAGCATATAAAACTTATATGAGACAGTTTTTCAGCAACAGGCAGAAACACACCACAATAATTTTTATCCTGTGCTAATATTTTGGTCCATAATAACATGATTTGAGAAAGATGCATGCTTAAATAATTTTTAAATTTTTTTACATGTATGTTTTTAGATAAATGTATTGTTCAGTCTTTAATATTAAAAACTAAAATTCTGAATGACAAACATATGTGCAAACAATTGTGGCAAAACCAGTTTTTATTGATGAAGGGACTAGCTGCCATTTGGTGATTTTTCAGCTAGTCAAATTTGAAAAATCAACTGAATCTCCTCTCCTCTCCTCTCTTCTCCTCTCCTCTCCTCTCCTCTCCTCTCCTCTCCTCTCTTCTCCTCTCCTCTCCTCTTCTCTTTTTTTTTTTTGAGACGGAGTCTCATTCTGTCCCCCAAGCTGGAGTGCAGTGGTGTGATCTCAGCTCACTGCAACCTCTGCCTTCCGGGTTCAAGTGATTTCCTGCCTCAGCCTCCCGAATAACTGGGATTACAGGCATGTGCCACCATGCCAGCTAATTTTTTGTATTTTTAGTAGAGATGGGGTTTCACCATGTTGGCCAGGATGGTCTCTATCTCCTGACATCATGATCTGCCCGCCTTGGCCTCCCAAAGTGCTAGGGTTACAGGTGTGAACTGCTGTGCCCGGCCCCTTGGATATTCTTTTCTAACTCAAATGAGAATATCCTCACTGTATAATCCACCTTCTCTCCAGAAACTTCAAGCTCTTCCTCTCTCATGGTGACTGTTTCTCTGCTGCAGATAAAAATTACATTTCCCTCTTAACTGAAAAATACCCAAGCCTATGAGCAAGAAATCAATTTTTTTTTATCCTATTATTCCCTCTGTCAGAGATGCCAGGAACTTTTTCTTCTTCATTTGTAGCATAATTTCATTCATGCATGCATGCATTTATTTATTTACTTACTCTAAAGCATTTACTAAGCACTTTAATTGGTCAGTCATAAGGCTTGATGCTGTAGAAACAGAGATGAAACGCAGTTCTCCATCGTAAAACAGTCTGGCAGGGAGGAGGAGGATAAATAAGTGGTTTATTACAATTTGATGAGAGAAAGTACCTAAGAGAACACATTTAAAAAGCATGCATTGCAGAAGGATGTGTAGAAGATGATGGAAGTAAAATTTTCTTGCAGCTGATGTTACACACGCACACACACACATACACAACCAACTAGATGTTTCTGTTAGTGTCATTGAAAACTACCCATTTTTTTTTTTTTTTTTTTTTTTTAAGACTGAGTCTTACTCTGTCATCCAGGCTGCAGTGCAGTGGTGCGATCTCAGCTCACTGAAACCTCTGTCCCCTGGGTTCAAGCGACTCTCCTGCCCCAGCCTCCCATGTAGCTGGGATTACAGGCACGTGCCACCATGCCTGGCTAGTTTTTGTATTTTTAGTAGAGATGGGGTTTCGTCTTGTTGACCAGGTTGTTCTACAACTCCTGACCTCATGCGATTCGCCGGCCTCGGCCACCCAAAGTGCTGGGATTACAGGTGTGAACCACCGCGTCCAAGCCTGACACCTACCCATTTCTTAAACTAGCTTTTATGTCCACCACTTGAAAGCCACTGCTTTGAGGTCTACTAATTACCGAAAGGCAAAATTGAATGAGTCATGCTCAACCACCCAGCCCTTAAACATCTCTTTGATCTCTCATGACCTAACTCAAAGATATCTCATTCCTGATTCACTTCTTCCTTCATCCAAACTGCACTCCTGAAGCACTTAATTAATCTAAACATAAGCAATGCTGACTTACTGTTTCATATTGTATTATGTTTTTGAAACTGATTTAGCTCATCTCTAAATTTTTATTGTTCTGAGGTCCGATTATCCACAGAGCCTAATATGTACAACGCTGAGCCAAACAAACACGTGGTAACGAAAACACTAATTTAGTGAATTAATCTAGAAGAATTAATCTAGAAACTAGACAGCAGCAGTTTCTCTCTTCAGCTTGAATTACTAAGCAATTCAAGTTAGCAATTGTGTAGACTCAAATAAGATAATAATATTTAGTCATTTAGATATGCCACTACAAGTAAAAATAAATCAGATACATATACATACACACAAATTACTCATAGAATGCAGTATTCATAAAACTTAATTATGTTACTTTTTAAACAAGCTGTGTTTTTATGTTTTTGCAAATAGTGGCAACAAATTGGCTACTTCAAGTGGTGACACTACAGTTAAATTATGGGATCTATGTAAAGGCGATTGCATTTTGACCTTTGAAGGACACAGTCACGCAGTATGGTCCTGCACGTGGCACTCCTGCGGCAATTTTGTGGCTTCCTCCTCACTGGATAAAACTAGCAAAATCTGGGATGTTAATAGGTAAGCAGTACTTTAAACATTACTAATCCTCTGTGTTGATACATACACATAGGTAAAGTTCTTTTTTTTTTTTTTTTTTTCTCGTTGCTACCCCTGGGAAACATTAAAAGAAACTGTTAGTTGATAAGATTATAGAGAGTTACTTAAATAATCTTTGTGAAATCCATTTCTAACTCCATTAATCTTTGTTGATATAATAATTTCTTTCTAAATATAAGTATCAAGATCAAGCCTGTGTAATAAGATTAGAATTGCTTCATTGGAAAGCTGTTTGTTTTAAGCAGTATAGAAACAAATACTTCTTTTAAAGAGTTGGATTTTTAGTTCTGCTTTCCACGGGCTTGTTATCACTCTGTACTGTTAAATTTAATAGTTTAATGAACATACATCTAACAGAACTAATTATTTTCTTTATGCTTAATTTGTTATGTTGTGATATTCTTGATTAAATGTTTCTTGTTAATTCACAAACTGTAGGAAATAGTATATTGTATTGTATGTAAAATCCTATACATATCATGTGGATTTGGAAGTGTTATGTTTTGATTTTAATTCAAGATAGACAAAGTCATTATGTTTAAAATATTGAAATTACTATCACCCGTATATTTTGGGTGTTCATTACATTCTGTTAGGTTTGCAAATATGATACAAAGAGGTAAATGTAGCTACTATCAAATATGCTAACTCCTTCAGCTAAGGGGTTATATATCATCCATCAAACTTTCTCAGTAGTCTGTGGTCCCAGCTCTGGAAGGGCCTCCATCCAGTCAGAGGAACACCCATAACAGCAGAGAAGTGCCCTCTCCTCAGAGGACTGAGGTTCCATTTTGAAGGTCCCCCCTTCAAGGGTCTACCTTATTCCCTGTGTTCGCTCAGTCCTAGGGGTGGTAGCTCTTTCTTGAAGTTGTTATCTCCATGATAACTTTAATGTTCTCTTTTCCCTTTTTTAGTTACTTGGTTAGAAACTTTATTCAGTTTTTACCATCCTGTATGTGAAATTATTATTGTTACAATGATAGGTGCAAGTTCCGTATCCTGATAAGTCCGTGAAAGATCCAGGGCATTAGTGGATAAGTAGCATGATCCACCTGAGTCATAAAGCTATAGCTAAATAAAATTAGCATGCTCCATAGGAGAAAACATGATTGTGAACAACATATTTTAGACCTATGTCTATCTGAAATAGTGACAATTTCAGATAGCTTTTAATTCTCAGATGAGTACTTACTGTTTATCTGGAATGTCTAATCATGTATAATTCTTTATTATATTTCTATAAGGGTGACTGGATTTCATAAATATTATAATAGATTAATAGAATTTTAACACTAGTATTTAATTTGAATTTTGTATCACTTTTGACTTAGTTGAGGATCATAATAGAAAACAGTGATCTATTCTAAAATGTGATATGTCTTTAGAACTCTTAACTACTCAGGGTGTTTAAAAGCAAACTATGGTTAAAAAACTAATACTCAGTAGTCTCAGCCCTACTTGGAATGATTTCAAACACTTTGACTTTACAACTTTTCTTTATGACCCTGGTATCTAAATACTGACTTCCCATTGGTGCCCAATAAATCTTGATATAACAGATCAAAATTGCTTCTGATTGATGCCAAAATTCTTTAAACTTCAAGTTTCCCATTACTGTCAAGAGTTCACTTTCATCATCAAGGACAAAAAAAAAAAAAAATTGTACTAATTTTGACATTGAGGCAGTGGATAAGTATTGACAAATAAAGTAGAAATTGATTGTTTCTATAGTGGCTATTGATATGCCTTTCAGAGTCACAAAGTTCCAAGCTCTAATTTATAATTACTCTCAGATCAATACTACATAGATATGTCTAAAACTAGTGTCTTTCTTCAAAATTTCATAGATTATTTGAACTGGCTTAGTTACTTAAGGCAAGAGATTATTTGCCTTGATAAGACGGATGATGGTGGAACTAAGCTATACTGTGTCATATATTCTTGGCTTGATACTGCACATATATATGTATGTATGTTTCAGAATTGGACAATACTTGGTAAGAACATCCATTTAGTTCCTCACCAAAAAGTTGGATCACTGTGAAACATCAACAATACAAAAAATTTCATATCAAGATTCATATTTACTGAGTGCTGATCAGAATCTATGAACAATTATCTATGACAGTCTGAATAATTCCATATATATACACTCCATATATATAATATATAATTCCATATATATACTCCATACACACACACACACACACACACACACACACACACACACACACACAACAAATCTTGCTCTGTCACCTAGGCTAGAGTGCAGTAGCGCAATCTCAGTTCACTGCAACCTCCGCTTCCTGGGTTCAAGCAATTCTCCTGCCTCAGCCTCCCGAGTTGCTGGGACTACAAGCACGCACCACCCCACCCGGCTAATTTTTGTATTTTTAGTAGAGACGGGGTTTCACCATGTTGGCCAGGCTGCTCTCAAACTTCTGAGCTCAGGTGATCCGCCCACCTCAGCCTCCCAAAGTGCTGGGGTTGCAGGCGTGAACCACTGCACCTGGCCATGCTGCACAGTTCTTAATAAATAACAAATTTATATTGGTAGACAGTATTAGTCACCAGAGAAGAAAGAATTTAGAATACATTCTTCTCTTTTCACACCCATCCTTTCCTTCAAGCTTCTGGGTCAGTCTTGAACAGCCTTGATTGGTGTTCTATCCCTAGCCCTGCAACTGTTTCAGAATTGGACAATACTTGGTAAGACGATCCATTTAGTTCCTCACCAAAAAGTTGGATCACTGTGAAGCATCAACAATATAAAACACTTCAGATCAAGATTCATATCTACTAAGTACTAATCAGAATCTGTGAACAATTACCTATGACACTCAGTCTAAATAATTCCGTACTCTACAAGGTTTCTGTGAATAATTAACAGTAGCTTTTTTATTATCTTCTGAATGATCAGATATATAAATTGTTATGTATTTCACTTAGTGGTCATTTGAAAACATACACACTAGTGTAACCCAAGCAGAGAGTGCATGGCACATGGTGGTTTACTCACATAAATGATTAAAGAGTGAATCAACAAGTAAATATGGCAAAAGTATTCTAAATATTCTCCCTGTCCCATCCACATTCAAACTATAATATAATTATGCTCTCTTATCCTACACAAATCAATAAAATGATGAAAATGAGATAGAAAAATCAGAAAATATCTCAGCTATAAAAAATAATTTGTATTTCTTTAGAGGCATTTAGAGGCATTTGTGCATAACATTAATCAATAAGTATTCATGAAATGACTTAACAGTGTTGGCCTGTGTTATAGACCTAAGACAATTCTCAACCATTGCCTTCAATGAGATTACAAGTAACTTGAAATGCAGCAGTTTTGAAGCAATAAGGGAATATGCAATGCATCTACCATTTATATTTATAATATCAGATCAGGTATTCTAGTTGACTCCTGGCTGCTTTTCTTCCAAGGTAGCTGGGTATTTGGCTGAGCAGTTATATCACACTGTTACTCTGATATTTGGAAGGCAGACCATGTGCCTGCTTTGCTTGTAACTTGAAAGAAAAGGGGTTGGAAACAGTCAAAATGTTACTGAATGTAGCTCTTCCAGCTGTTTTAACAAGGTGTTACACAGGCAAGAATTGGGTGGTTTGTATCAAGGACAGTAGGAAACAGACGGACTTGTAAAATTCAACAGCTTCTTGACCCCAAATGTTGGGAGATAAATCTGTGGTCCTAATTTCTAAGTGCATTGTGTCTGATGCTCTTGCAATTACATGGGAAGAGGAAAATAAAGAAGGTTTAAGAACTATGTTTACTTTACTTTGTGGTTACTGTGGCATTGCATTGCCTGGAAGCAATTATATTAGAAACCTATCAAGTTTTTGAGAGAATTGGATTGACAAGGAAACTATGAGCCTATCCTTAAACCCCCCTGACTCTTCAAACAGTGAAACAGTCCTCAGAGCCCCAAACTTGCATCCAAAAAAAGTGGACTTGTATTTTTGCACAGTTCAGAAGGCAGGCAGAGACCATAGCACCAATCTCAATATGGCCACAGAGGATAATGAACAAGAAGGAACCTACAATGGAACTAAGTCAGAAGCCACAAAAACAATGGGGAACCGTGCTCCTCTGGGAGACAACCATGGTCCAGTCAAGGAACTTTCCTCAGTACCACGGCAAAGTTCCTCATGATGCCTGCCTAGTTTTTCACTATTTGGACTAGTGATGCTTGCATGTTTCTCATGTTTCTATTTTCTGTACAGTTTATTTCGCAGTTATTCTGTCCTTACTTCACAATGATGCATTGTGTTCTTGGTGGTGATGGTGGTGGGAAGCAAAAAACTTGTATTTTGTTTCATTGGTTACCGTATAATGCAAGTGACACTGTTGAACCAAATGATGCAGATTGTGTGTCAGCCACAGATCATGAACTGTGAGACAGGCAGTAACTGAAGAAGAGATCTGGGGATGTTTCTTTTTTTGGTTGTGGAGGGAAGAAAGTCAGTGAATATTCTATTTGTGGAAGAAAGGATGACACAGATATTTGGTGAGAAAAAGGCCAAACTGTGGCAGAGACTGTTAGCTTTTCACTAGAATCCACTTTTTCCTTCTTCCATATTAGTTGGGCACTTGGCAGTATATTTAAATGATATTTCTTGGCCTCAATTAGTTAAGTATGTCTATGTCACTAAGTACTGTACAATAGAATATTAGTTAAAGTAGCAGGCACTGTATCCTTATTCGTCCTGCCTTGTGGTGGAATGGAATACCAATGACAATGAGCACAATAATCTTAGAAGCCTATTATTGAAAATGACAGAACAATTGTCAAGCTGCTTGAAGTAAAACCACCCGTTTTGTAACTCCAGTTAGCCTGCAACATTCTCTGGACTCTCCAGCAATAAGAAAATACACTTCTAGGCTGGGCGCGGTGGTTCACGCCTGTAATACCAGCACTTTGGGAGGCCAAGGCAGGCCG